GCGGGCGCCCTTCCCGCCTGCCCCGCAGATGGGCTTCGGCAGCGTCCTTGGGGGTCTCCCGGAGCGGGGAGTCCCCCCACCCCAGGCGGCCGCGCCACAACAGAGTCCTGGCGGCAGCGGGATGCAATGGGGCGCCCGCTCGGAAAGCAGATATTGGGGAAAAAAAGAGTGCTAATTTTCGGAGGGGGGGGGTCCCGGGGAGGCACCCACCCGAGCGAGGGGGCTTCATTGTGCGAGCGGAGGTGTAGAGCCGCGAGCTTTGTCTGCGGCTTTGCGGAGTCTGCTCTGCCCTTCCGCTGGGTTGGGGGGAGCCCCCAGACCTGCCGCTGAGCTGGGGTAGGCCCTTTCCGCAGTGGGTTGGCGGTAGGTTGAGGAATAATACTTGGTATTTACACAAGTGTGCCAGTAGGTTAGATTGTAGGTGTGTGTCTCTCTTGCCGCAACTTTACGCGTGGGGGACGGGGGGTCATAACTCAAGCATAAGATGAGCATGTAACTTATTCCTGATATACTTCGTGACCTTGGCTGGATCTGGGATTAAGCCAACGTTTAAATGCAAAGTAGTCCATCTATGAAGACTTTCCAGCTTTTTGTAAGGCCCTAGATATGTTTGTCAGGAGAAGGAAAAGGTTTTCATGTATGTGTTTCAGGTACGTTTTAGTCTGAATGTGTGTGATATAAGGTGTTATTAGTACCTGGTGGCCTTTTATGTTAAGGGTTGCACATAGTAAGTATTCCTTCCAAAGAAAATGATTTTTTCACAATTGGTTAAAAGCAGCATTTGCAGCAAGCCGCCATGTTTCCAGCGTATGCTATTTTTGTCTAGCCCGTGCTCTCACAAGCAGAAGTGACAGCTTTAGGAAATGTGGACGCTGCTATCAAGCTCTGAAAGCTAACACTTCCAGGTGCCGTAAATCAAACTTGGTGTGCATGCTGGATTGTTTTCAACTACCAAGACTTTTTAGAATGGCATTCCAAAGAAAAGCGAGTGCAGAAGTTGACACACAAACCACACTTCAGTTCTTTTCTGAATCTTTCTTTTGACCAAGTTTTCTATTTTCTTATTCCTCCTCTGTCAAGAATAAACCTAATGAGTTTCCTAAAAGGTAGTTCTATAATACTTGGTGGTAAAATGGTCGCATCTTGTGAAGTGAATTCACCTTTTCCAGAGGTATTTCAGCTCAATGTAGTGGAGCTGTTCTTGCTAAAGGACGGTTTAGTTGAACGTACAGCTTAGAACATACAAGAAAGTGTTTACTTCTTTTTTTTTTTTTTTGGTGGCACGGCAGGCTCAGAAATAGGAACATACAATAAGTATGTAGTGCGAAAACTTTTTTCCTAACTGTGACTATAAAACGTTATTCTTCTGCTCTTCTGTTCATTTGTCACTGTCACAATAGCATCGATTTGAGTTCATCATACAACTGATGATATTCCAGATCAGAAGCTCTTGATTTTAAACATGAGATCTTTAGGCACTTGACCAGACAGCAAGCTCCTCCTTGCAGTCTTAATTTTTGTGTGCTTGCATACAATCTTTCTGGAATGTGCTCCAAAGATTTGTAGACTTGTTATTGCATTTCACACTTCTTATAAAGTCACTCCTGTAAGAGCTAAAGTGTGTTTACGTTTTTGACAAGATGCATCTTAGCTTTGATATACCGCTCATGTTCTGAAGTGGCTGAGCATATATCTATTGGAAGATTGGTTCAGAAAAATCAAACTCTGTTTCTCCTTGCGAATTTTTACAATCACATACAGAGCAACGCTTTTTAATGGAAGTGCATTAATGAAAACAAAGATAGTGTTACTGCATGTACACAGGTATTGTTGCTCATGCAGTAGATACTTCTGAGACAGCATTCACAAAGTTAACAGAAATGACCTGTTGGACAAATTAGAAAATAGATTATTGCAGTTTTTAATATTAGAACCTGAGCTTTTTTTTTTTTTACTTTATATAATGAATGGAAAATGAAAGAGAAGAAACCAAGTAGAGCAGTTCTTAGGGTGGTGCTAGCTGTTATGCTGGCTTTAGTCTATTGTACTGAACAAAAGGTGAAAGTTTTTTTTTCCT